CTACTTACCTCAGTCGATATATTCGCCCTAAGCTTGTTCACGAATTTGCTGAATGGCTGTGTTTGCAGCCATTGTACGTTTCAGAAGGCATTATCTATGACTCATCGATAACCATGCAATTGGAGTTACCACCTAACATTGAAATGGAATCTGATGAATCTGACGAAAGTAGCGAGGACGGTGAAATAGCAGGCTCCTTTGACACCTTGCTCAACTCGCGGCCTCTTATGGACATCAGTCTAAAAACTGTAACTGCTCCAACATCGGGTGAGACTCCATTGTCAATATTCACTGATGAATTTGGCGAGGAATATGCGTATCCAACCCTTTTTGCTGGCCAAGCGCGTGCTCGCAATACAGAGCGTATCCGAAGTGTTTCATACAAGAATATTTGTAAAGCAGAAATGCAAAACGTCAACAGAAAGTTTGCCCGTCATTCTGACAACCTCTTTTTCAAGACGAAAAAATGCGTCATCAAACGAGTCTTTAGTAATGCGCAAGTCGCTGTCCGCAAAAGACATGGCCGAAGTTTGCGAGCTTCTGATGTTAAAGGCCATTCACTGCGTAATCTGTTCGACACAGACAAAGCATATGCATTTCTTGCGAATGAACGTTTCAGTCCACCGTACTTTGCCAAAATGGAAAAGAATTTAATGGCTCTCATTCGACAAAATGGCCCGCCGTCTCTGTTTATGACTTTCTCAATGGCGGAAGCCCATTGGACAGATCTTTTGAAAATTCTCTGGATGTCAGCAAATCCAGGGAAGCCATGCCCCACTGGTGAACAATTATTGCAAATGGGATATAAAGAAAAGGCAGACTTAATTAGGTCTGATGCCATAAACATTGCCCGGCACTACTCCAAGCGAATGGGATGGCTTCATAAAGACATTCTTATGTCCGCTGCTAGTCCTGTTGGGCAAGTTGTCGATTACAAGTCAAGATGTGAAACTCAACAACGAGGTTCGCTTCACGAACATGGATTATATTACGTCAAAAATACACCTAAGCTTGATATTGATGACGATTTGCACGTCATTAACTTCGTGAATCGCGCAATATCTTGTTCCATTACTTTACCCGATATCGAAAAGGTTGTTCTGACGAAAGAAGACAGAGCACTACCTCAAAAACTACAATTGCACAAACACGACCGTCGTTTTTGCAAGACCAACGGACTGCAGTGTAAAAACAAGTTTCCTGTTCCCCCCATGCCTTACACAGTAGTTCTTCGTCCTCTGACTTCAAATGTTGCGAAACATAAAAATGAATTTCGTAAAATTATAGAATTCATAAACAAGTTACCACGAGGAATCAATTGCGTTATGACGTTTTCAACTTTTATTGAAACCCTGAAAATGTCCGTAGATGAGTATTTATTGGCAATTAGATCTTCAATCAAAGAAACAACTGTTTTTATCCAGAGGAAGCCATCTGAAGTCCGTGTTAACAACTACAATCCAGTTTTGTTGTACCTATGGCGCGCTAACATGGACATTCAGTATGTGACAAATGCCTATGCAGTAATTAAATACATTTGCTCTTATACATGTGTTAGTACCATTTTTAGTTCTCGAACTGTTATTCCATGATCTTTGTCAATATAGCAAAATTTTGGTGTATACATGTGTTAGTACGATTTTTAGCTCTAGAACTGTTATTCCATGATCTTTGTCAATATAGCAAAAATTTGACGTATACATGTGTTAGTACGATTTTTAGCTCTCGAACTGTTATTTCATGATCTTTGCCAATATAGCAAAATTTTGGTGTATACATGTGTTCGTACGATTTTTAGCTCACGAACTGTTATTTCAGGCCCTTTGTCAATATAGTAAAATTTTGGTGTATACATGTGTTAGTACGATTTTTAGTTCTAGAAGTGTTATTTTATGATCTTCGTTGATATATCAAAAATTTAACCTATACATGTGTTAGTACGATTTTTACTTCTAGAACTGTTATTTCAGGCTCTTTCTCGATATAGCAAAATTTTGGTGTATACATGTATTAGTACGATTTTTTGTTCTAGAACTGTTATTCTTCAATTATTAGTTGTTCAAGTTGTTTGGTTTTTGCTTCAGTTTCTATGCCTTCGGTGTATTGCGCGTAGCGCCTATGTTTTTTAATGTTGTCTGTTGTCAAGTGTCGACAAATAACGTCCACAGTTATCAATTATCATGTGGGCTGGACTATATCGCGCTATGTCACGTGATTGCGTATGTTTGTTTCTTTATTTGTTCATCTTTATTTATTTAATTATCTGTTCTTCTATTTATTTAATTATGTTTAGTTTGCTTATATTTATTTATAATTTATGTATGTACATATTTATTTTTGTTTATTTTTATCACGTGTTTTGTTTATTTATTTAATTATTCTTTCTTTCATTTAGTTTTGCTTTTATTATTTCTGCGTGTGTATTTATTTAATTTTTAGTTCTCGAACTGTTATTTTATGATCTATGTCAATATATCAAAATTTTATTGTATATATGTGTTAGTACCATTTTTAGTTCTCGAACTGTTATTTAACTTGGAATGCTCCGCGTCAAAGTAATCTTCATTTAAGACATAATGTAAAATGTTGGTAGACCTTGTTTCTGGACATTGGTTTTTTTTCGATTTGGCGGCTTTCGTCGGATCTCTTGCGGCCAATTTGACAGGCTTTGTTTTTGATGTATCGCAATTGGTGCGAAGCTCTGCTTCGCCTCTGTGTAAAAGATATCGGTCGAACAATTACGGTTTCGAGTTGAGGGAATTGAATTCCTGAATTTCAGGAAATATGGCTGTTGAAATCAACGGAAGCCGACCACGTGTGACTGGCAAAATTCTACCCGACTTCAAAGGTCAAATGGTGACTCTTTTGGGAACAGTAGGAGAGTTCGACCAAAACTCCAGAGGGCTGTTCCTGACGACATCCGATAATGTCTCAGTCAATGTGAAGTTTGGTACCGAAGCTTTGATCTCTGAAATGACCCCAAATACTATGATAGAGGTTACAGGTCAAGTTGACCAAAGCGGCGATTCCATGCAAGGACAGTGCTGGAATTTTGTGCCGTCTGGAGAAAAATCAATGGATTTGAATTTGTATAATTTGGCTGTAGAAAAAATTCATCAACTGGGAGCGAATATTTACCCACATATTGACCAGTCTCAAGTTCACACTGAGTGATCTGTGTTTTGTGTTTACTGTTTGTGCTTCAACTTAAGTTTTTGATACTGAATGAGATATTGTAATTGACTTTTAATTTTTTGAATATACAGAACACAGTTATTGAGATAAAAGTGAGCTTAGGCTTCTGAGGAATTCAAATGCGCAAATAAGGCAATATGTGAATTTTTTCCTGGTCAAATTGTACCCCAGAAATGAGTTATTTTTGACTCCTTTTAGTCAATCAAAAATAACGCTTAAATTACAGGGCCATTTGTTGAGCAGATTATATCGAAGCAAGCCTCTTAAGTGGCCCAGTAAAAACAAGAAAATTTTAATCTCAACCAAATTTCCTATTTGAAATAATAAGAAAACGCAACTTTTTCTCGAAAGCTGATGCTTTGATATTGTAATTTGATATTCTTTGTTTAGGTTATTTATGTTTTCTTTTTATCCAGCATGATGACACTGCTCAGACTGACTCTTCAGAGTTATTTAGGAAGCTGAATTTTTCTGGCCTATTTTCCTTACGTTTAAAATCCAATCATCGCTATTTCTCTTGTTTAGGTTAGCCAGAAAAATGTAATTGGTTCATTTAATCTGATACAGCCTTCTGAAAATGATCAGACTGATTCGTGAGAGTAAATTCGGTAGCTGAAACCTTCTCTGCTTATTTTTGTCTTGGGTCCAATAATAATTATAGTCATAGTGGTTTTTGGTTTTGTTCTTAGTCGAAGCATAAATTGCAGTTTTGTTTTTAGACACAATGTTTTTTCATGAAAATTGAAGCTGTGATTTGGTAGTGCAATGTTTTTTTCCCTTTCCGCATGATGATCAAAGTCAGACTGATTCGTGATAGTCAATTCGGAATCTGTTTTTTTTTGTGCTCAGTTCTATTTTCAGAAGTTCAAGAATAGCACTACGTTTTTGCCAAACGGTGTAATTGCTTCAGAAGACGTGATGCCTTTTTGTGTTATAGTGATGCTGGTTCTCTGTTCTAATTGTTTTCTTGTTGATGAAGAATTTGCTGTTTTGTTTGTAAGACTAGAAAACGTTTCTTTTTCATGAGAGCTGATGCTTTGATTTGTTAGCTTTTGTTTGTTTCTTTTGGTTATTTAATTTTTCCTTTTCTTCCGCATGATGACAAAACCCAGAATTATTCGTGACAGAAAATTCGGAAGCTGGCACTCTGGTTGTTTGTGCTTTTTTCGTTACTGTCTAAAATCTAATAATAGCTTTTTACTTGTTTAGTTACGCCAGAAGTTGTAATTAATTCATGTAATCAGATGTTTTGTTCTGTTATAGTGATACTGGTTCTTAGTTTCGTTTTAAGTTGAAGCATAAATCGCAGTTTTGTCTTTAGGACCTCGCAATGCGTCGCTTGATGAGCGTAAAAATTCCATAATGCATATGTGTATCTTCAGGGGGTCTTTAATTTTTTTGAGTTTATAGATTTTTTTCTTCATGAATAGAATTAGGTTTTTTAGGTTTCCTTCATGAATGCTGTTTCGGCTCGACCGGTATCTGCGCAAGTATTGTTGGCTTTGTTTCCGCTCTTAATTTTGCTTCTAATGCTAAAGTAACTTTCAGTTTTTTAACTTGGAATGCTCCGCGTCAAAGTAATCTTCATTTAAGACATAATGTAAAATGTTGGTAGACCTTGTTTCTGGACATTGTTTTTTTTCGATTTGGCGGCTTTCGTCGGATCTCTTGCGGCCAATTTGACAGGCTTTGTTTTTGATGTATCGCAATTGGTGCGAAGCTCTGCTTCGCCTCTGTGTAAAAGATATCGGTCGAACAATTACGGTATCGAGTTGAGGGAATTGAATTCCTGAATTTCAGGAAATATGGCTGTTGAAATCAACGGAAGCCGACCACGTGTGACTGGCAAAATTCTACCCGACTTCAAAGGTCAAATGGTGACTCTTTTGGGAACAGTAGGAGAGTTCGACCAAAACTCCAGAGGGCTGTTCCTGACGACATCCGATAATGTCTCAGTCAATGTGAAGTTTGGTACCGAAGCTTTGATCTCTGAAATGACCCCAAATACTATGATAGAGGTTACAGGTCAAGTTGACCAAAGCGGCGATTCCATGCAAGGACAGTGCTGGAATTTTGTGCCGTCTGGAGAAAAATCAATGGATTTGAATTTGTATAATTTGGCTGTAGAAAAAATTCATCAACTGGGAGCGAATGTTTACCCACATATTGACCAGTCTCAAGTTCACACTGAGTGATCTGTGTTTTGTGTTTACTGTTTGTGCTTCAACTTAAGTTTTTGATACTGAATGAGATATTGTAATTGACTTTTAATTTTTTGAATATACAGAACACAGTTATTGAGATAAAAGTGAGCTTAGGCTTCTGAGGAATTCAAATGCGCAAATAAGGCAATATGTGAATTTTTTCCTGGTCAAATTGTACCCCAGAAATGAGTTATTTTTGACTCCTTTTAGTCAATCAAAAATAACGCTTAAATTACAGGGCCATTTGTTGAGCAGATTATATCGAAGCAAGCCTCTTAAGTGGCCCAGTAAAAACAAGAAAATTTTAATCTCAACCAAATTTCCTATTTGAAATAATAAGAAAACGCAACTTTTTCTCGAAAGCTGATGCTTTGATATTGTAATTTGATATTCTTTGTTTAGGTTATTTATGTTTTCTTTTTATCCAGCATGATGACACTGCTCAGACTGACTCTTCAGAGTTATTTAGGAAGCTGAATTTTTCTGGCCTATTTTCCTTACGTTTAAAATCCAATCATCGCTATTTCTCTTGTTTAGGTTAGCCAGAAAAATGTAATTGGTTCATTTAATCTGATACAGCCTTCTGAAAATGATCAGACTGATTCGTGAGAGTAAATTCGGTAGCTGAAACCTTCTCTGCTTATTTTTGTCTTGGGTCCAATAATAATTATAGTCATAGTGGTTTTTGGTTTTGTTCTTAGTCGAAGCATAAATTGCAGTTTTGTTTTTAGACACAATGTTTTTTCATGAAAATTGAAGCTGTGATTTGGTAGTGCAATGTTTTTTTTTCCCTTTCCGCATGATGATCAAAGTCAGACTGATTCGTGATAGTCAATTCGGAATCTGTTTTTTTTTGTGCTCAGTTCTTTTTTCAGAAGTTCATTAATAGCACTACGTTTTTGCCAAACGTTGTAATTGCTTCAGAAGACGTGATGCCTTTTTGTGTTATAGTGATGCTGGTTCTCTGTTCTAATTGTTTTCTTGTTGATGAAGAATTTGCTGTTTTGTATGTAAGACTAGAAAACGTTTCTTTTTCATGAGAGCTGATGCTTTGATTTGGTAGCGTGTGTTTGTTTCTTTTGGTTATTTAAATTTTCCTTTTCTTCCGCATGATGACAAAACCCAGAATTATTCGTGACAGAAAATTCGGAAGCTGGCACTCTGGTTGTTTGTGCTTTTTTCGTTACTGTCTAAAATCTAATAATAGCTTTTTACTTGTTTAGTTACGCCAGAAGTTGTAATTAATTCATGTAATCAGATGCTTTGTTCTGTTATAGTGATATTGGTTCCCAGTTTTGTTCTAAGTCGAAGCATAAATTGCAGTTTAGTCTTTAGCACTATGGTTTTTACGAAAAATGATTCTTTGATTTGGTAGTGCGATATAATTTTTTCATTTTTTATTTTTTTTTCCGCATGATAGTCATAGTGGTTTTTGGTTTTGTTCTTAGTCGAAGCATAAATTGCAGTTTTGTTTTTAGACACAATGTTTTTTCATGAAAATTGAAGCTGTGATTTGGTAGTGCAATGTTTTTTTTCCTTGACCGCATGATGATCAAAGTCAGACTGATTCGTGATAGTCAATTCGGAATCTGTTTTTTTTTGTGCTCAGTTCTATTTTCAGAAGTTCAAGAATAGCAATACGTTTTTGCTAAAGGTTGTAATTGCTTCAGAAGACGTGATGCCTTTTTGTGTTATAGTGATGCTGGTTTTCTGTTCTAATTGTTTTCTTGTTGATGAAGAATTTGCTGTTTTGTTTGTAAGACTAGAAAACGTTTCTTCTTCATGAGAGCTGATGCTTTGATTTGGTAGCGTGTTTTTGTTTCTTTTGGTTATTTACTTTTTCCTTTTCTTCCGCATGATGACAAAACCCAGAATGATTCGTGACAGAAAATTTGAAAGCTGGCACTCTGGTTGTTTGTGCTTTTTTCGTTACTGTCTAAAATCTAATAATAGCTTTTTACTTGTTTAGTTACGCTAGAAGTTGTAATTAATTCATGTAATCAAATGCTTTGTTCTGTTATAGTGAAATTGGTTCCCAGTTTTGTTCTAAGTCGAAGCATAAATCGCAGTTTTGTCTTTAGGACTATGTTTTTCATGAAAAATTACGCTTTGTTTTGGTAGTTCGATATAATTTTTTCATTTTTAATTTCTTTCCGCATGATAGTCATAGTGGTTTTTGGTTTTGTTCTTAGTCGAAGCATAAATCGCAGTTTTGTCTTTAGGACTTTGTTTTTCAAGAAAATTGATGCTTTGATTTGTTAGTGCAATGTTTTTTGTTTCCTTTACCGCATGATGATCAAAAACAGACTGATTCGTGATAGTCAATTCGGAATATGTTTTTTTCTGCTCAGTTCTGTTTTCAGAAGTTCAAGAATAGCAATCCGTTTTTGCCAAAGGTTGTAATTGCTTCAGTAGACCTGATGCCTTTTTTTGTTATAGTCATCATGCTGGTTTTCTGTTCTAATTATTTTCTTCTTGAAGAAGAATTTGCTGTTTTGTTCATAAGACAAGAAAACGTTTCTTTTTCATGGGAGCTGATGCTTTGATTTGGTAGCGTGTTTTTGTCTTTTTTTTGGTGATTTAATTTTTCCTTTTCTTCCGCATGATGACAAAACCCAGAATGATTCGTGACAGAAAATTCGGAAGCTGACACTCTGGTTGTTTGTGCTTTTTTCGTTACTGTCTAAAATCTAATAATAGCTTTTATTTACTTGTTTAGTTACGCCAGAAGTTGTAATTAATTCATGTAATCAGATACTCTGTAATTCATGTAATCAGATGCTCTGTTCTGTTATAGTCATATTGGTTCCCAGTTTTGTTCTAAGTCGAAGCATAAATCGCAGTTTTGTCTTTAGGACTATGTTTTTCATGAAAATTGATGCTTTGATTTGGTAATGCAATGTTTCTATATTTCCTTTACCGCATGATGATCAAAATCAGACTGATTCGTGATAGTCAATTCGGAATCTGTTTTTTTCTGCTCAGTTCTGTTTTCAGATGTTCAAGAATAGCAATACGTTTTTACCAAAGGTTTTAATTGCTTCAGAAGACCTGATGCCTAATTGTGTTATAGTCTTGCTGGTTTTCTGTTTTAATTATTTTCTTGTTGAAGAAGAATTTGCTGTTTTGTTCATAAGACAAGAAAACGTTTCTTTTTCATGAGAGCTGATGCTTTGATTTGGTAGCGTGTTTTTGTCTTTTTTTATGGTTATTTAATTTTTCCTTTTCTTCCGCATGATGACAAAACCCAGAATGATTCGTGACAGAAAATTCGGAAGCTGACACTCTGGTTTTTTGTGATTTTTTCGTTACTGTCTAATATCTAATAATCGTTTTTATTTACTTGTTTAGTTACGCCAGAAGTTGTAATGAATTCATGTAATCAGATGTTTTGTTCTGTTATAGTGATACTGGTTCTTAGTTTCGTTCTAAGTTGAAGCATAAATCGCAGTTTTGTCTTTAGGACTATGTTTTTCACGAATAATGATGCTTTGTTTTGGTAGTGCGATATAATTTTTTTCATATTTTATTTCTTTTTTCGCATGATAGTCAGTGGTTTTTGTTTTTTTTTCATAGTCGAAGCATAAATTGCAGTTTTTTTTAGACACAATGTTTTTTCATGAAAATTGATGCCTTGATTTGGTAGTGCAATGTTTTTTTGTTTCCTTTACCGCATGATGATCAAAATCAGACTGATTCGTGATAGTCAATTCGGAGTCTGTTTTTTTTCTGCTCAGTTCTGTTTTCAGACGTTCAAGAGTAGCAATACGTTTTTGCCAAAGGTTGTAATTGCTTCAGTAGACCTGATGCCTTTTTTTGTTATAGTCATCATGCTGGTTTTCTGTTCTAATTATTTTCTTCTTGAAGAAGAATTTGCTGTTTTGTTCATAAGACAAGAAAACGTTTCTTTTTCATGGGAGCTGATGCTTTGATTTGGTAGCGTGTTTTTGTCTTTATTTTGGTGATTTATTTTTTCCTTTTCTTCCGCATGATGACAAAACCCAGAATGATTCGTGACAGAAAATTCGGAAGCTGACACTCTGGTTGTTTGTGCTTTTTTCGTTACTGTCTAAAATCTAATAATAGCTTTTATTTACTTGTTTAGTTACGCCAGAAGTTGTAATTAATTCATGTAATCAGATACTCTGTAATTCATGTAATCAGATGCTCTGTTCTGTTATAGTCATATTGGTTCCCAGTTTTGTTCTAAGTCGAAGCATAAATCGCAGTTTTGTCTTTAGGACTATGTTTTTCATGAAAATTGATGCTTTGATTTGGTAATGCAATGTTTTTTTATTTCCTTTACCGCATGATGATCAAAATCAGACTGATTCGTGATAGTCAATTCGGAATCTGTTTTTTTCTGCTCAGTTCTGTTTTCAGATGTTCAAGAATAGCAATACGTGTTTACCAAAGGTTTTAATTGCTTCAGAAGACCTGATGCCTTATTGTGTTATAGTCTTGCTGGTTTTCTGTTTTAATTATTTTCTTGTTGAAGAAGAATTTGCTGTTTTGTTCATAAGACAAGAAAACGTTTCTTTTTCATGAGAGCTGATGCTTTGATTTGGTAGCGTGTTTTTGTCTTTTTTTATGGTTATTTAATTTTTCCTTTTCTTCCGCATGATGACAAAACCCAGAATGATTCGTGACAGAAAATTCGGAAGCTGACACTCTGGTTTTTTGTGATTTTTTCGTTACTGTCTAATATCTAATAATCGTTTTTATTTACTTGTTTAGTTACGCCAGAAGTTGTAATGAATTCATGTAATCAGATGTTTTGTTCTGTTATAGTGATACTGGTTCTTAGTTTCGTTCTAAGTTGAAGCATAAATCGCAGTTTTGTCTTTAGGACTATGTTTTTCACGAATAATGATGCTTTGTTTTGGTAGTGCGATATAATTTTTTTCATATTTTATATCTTTTTTCGCATGATAGTCAGTGGTTTTTGTTTTTTTTTCATAGTCGAAGCATAAATTGCAGTTTTTTTTAGA